TATAATTCTCATTGTTTTGTACTTAATATATATATATATATATATATATATATACATAGAAAATTAAATATTTAATTAGCCCCTTAATTAATTAATCAGTTAACTCCGTTAAGTTTAATATTACAATCATTCATCCTTACTACCTTTTTTTTAAATTTATAAGCTAAAAATATCAAAATATGCCCAATATTAATATTGTTATAAATTGTTAATATTTTTTAAAATAATTCCGTTCAATTAATTATAATTAGTTAATTGTTAATTTATTATAAATAAATTATTATTTATTTGGAAATAAATTATTGTTCGTTGTTGTTGCCGGGTTCGTCAGAGATGAACGATGAACATGCAACTAATCTAGAGTACAGGTAGGAATCATATTCGTGAACTGCAGAAGAGAAAATTTGAAAAAATCAGTTAACAAATCAGCCCATTCAATCAATCAACCAATCAATCAACCAACCAACCAATCAATCAACATTATCAAATCAATCATCCAATCAAACCACTGCATCAATCGATCAGCAAATCAACCAACACATCTGTACAAAATGGCCAGGGGGCGAGGGCAGATCAGATCTGAATGTGAATCTTTCCTCAAAACTCATCTCCTCTTTGTAAAAAATCAATCAATCATTTATTCAATCAATCAATCAATTAATTGATTAATTAATTAATTAATCAATTAATTGATAAATAAAGTAATTGATCAATTATTCACTACATTGAATCGCTTCTAAGTTTTAAATAAGCATAAACACAATAAACACATACAACAGACACACACTTACTTGAGAATAAATAAACAAATACAATACAGTAGTAAAATAGCACCAAAAAACAATACAATACCTGCCAAACAACACAACAAATATGCATTGAAACAACAAATTTTAATTGAAAAAGTTGATGAAACCAAACAAAAGCATAGAGAACATACCATGCGAGTCTACATTATTAATACTATTTCTGCTTGACAATGATGACGTTCTCAACTTTTTATCAACTGCTGATGTTGTTGCTGCTGAAGCTGCTGAAGCTGCTGCTGATAACTTACTTGATGAGAAGGCCAATGAATTGTTTGAGCCCTTTAGTAAGATAGAATTGAGGTTTGAAATTAAATGGGATGGTATATTGGAGGGTTTTAATTTAGAATGTTGACCTAATTTCTTTGTAGATGATTGGTCCCTGATTTTTCTTGATTCCTTGGAAGCTGCTGTTTTAGCTGCTGCAGCTGCGGTCTTATCTCTAAACGAAGACCTATTTTTAGATGCTTCTTTCACATTAGTATTACCTCCTTTTTCTGATCTCTTCCTTAAAACATCTCCATATAGAGAATTTCCTCTAGTCTTAGATGATTCTTTGCTTTTCAGTGAGAACTCTCCGCCGTTTAATGTCGTTCTGTCTTTTGATAAAGTCCTACTCTTGTGGGAGTCTGAATTTTTGCCCGCATCTTTATGTCTTAGGATATTTTTTGTATTCAAATTTTTACTACCAACAATTTTGTCATCTGGGTTTATGTAGTAGCTTTTAATGAAATCAACCCTGCAGGGATCTAGGTTAACATTCGATGATTTGGAGGATTTGGATTCTAAAATCTTGCTAGGGCTGAAGCCTTTTGTAGTCGCAAAAATGTTTGATAAGAAAAATTTCGAAGATGAAAATTGAGGATTTTTTTTGGAGGTCTGTTCAGTTGTTGGTGTTGATGTGCTGTTTCTTGAATCTTCTCTAGAAGTGTTGGATTCTGTGACTTTGATGTTGGCCCATGATGATGAGGAATCGTTACTTTCAACTGGAAAAAAATTTGGGTTGCTGGTTTTGTTTAGGCTAGTAATCAACGGCTGATCGGTTGTTGATTTTTGAAATTTGTTGAAAAAATTTGAAAGAATTGAGACAGTATGTTTGGGCTTTGTTGAACCTTTTGAGCTAAACATGGAATGTGATGATGTATCCAGAGCAATACTTGAAACTTCATTTTCTTCAAAGTTAGCCACTGTGTGAGATGATAGGTGATCCAGAATGTTCTGGTCAACTACACTGCTAACAGACTTTGACTCAGTGCTATGATATGTTTGTGGAATCATTATCCCCGGCTGTGTGTTTATGATGTTGAAATCCTCAAACTTTCTCTCAACATCATCTTGAGGTTCAAAATCTGCTTTCAACAGCTGATGCTCAATTTCAGTATATCTATGAAAAATGCCATTACCATGTAGGCCGAAAACACCGGTCAGTGCAGTATTACCCGTCAGTTCTTCATTATCATCCTCATCAGTCAAACTTGGCAGAAGTTTCAAATATAAATTCTCGTCATCAGCATTTCTTAGCAACTCATCTCTATCAGATTGATCAAAGGCTGATAACACAGCATTCCTAGTCTGCTCCTGCTCTGATGTACTCGGCAGAGGCACATCACAAACAATTTTCGACTGGTTTTTCTTGCTGTTAACTGTCAATTTAAACAAATTAAAGTTTATAAAAAAAGAACACTAATATAAATTATCTATGTTCATTTGAAGTTAAATTTTCAACAAACATCAAATATATCAATTTATTAAAAATTAAATTAAACATTCATACATAACATGCATATCAACTATTTTTCTTTTATAATTAGTCAAAAAATTATAAAACTAACTCTTGGGGGCACTCTTGTCGATCATCAGATGCTTCGCTGGTTTTAGAGAAACTCCAGCAATAATATCATTTAAAACTTTTGCCTCCATCTTGTTTTCTTATTTAAATTTTATTTATAATTGTCTGATAATATATATATATTTAAGTTACAAATGACTAATGAGAAATTGAGTAGAATAAGTATCAAACATTTTTTTAAAATATTAACATTAAATATATTTATTAAATAAATAATAAAAAAAGTAAAATTAATCAATTTTCATAAATTCTAATTAAATTTTTAATTCAACTATTACTATTCATTTGATTGAGTTTGAAATTTTAATTAAATTGAATTTTAGAAAAAATTTTTATGATAGTGAATTACTGGAAAACAAAAAAGAATAAAAAACGACATAGTGATTTTTTCACTAAATACAGACTGAAACACTTTCCCTAACTTACAATTACGTCATTTTAAACTCGTAAAACTACATAATAATAAAAAAATTTAAATCGTATTTCGTTCATTCACCCAAGGCGTTTTTAAAATGGAGGCTGTTGACAAAGATTATAGAAAAAATTATTAATTTCTAATATTATGATACACATATCTAGTAATTATAATTATATAATTATATTATATATAATATATATATATCATAATTATATAATAAATATATAATTATAATTATATATAAACATATCTATATAGAACCACATCTACCGATATCCTGCGTCTTGCTGGTTTAGATGATATAAAGGACGAATGCCAGCAACACCGTCTGCGGTGGTTTAGTCATGTCAAACGAAGTGGAAACTGTGCCATAACTTCTCTTGCAAAAGTTGAAGTACCTGGCACACGTCCCAAAGGCCGTCCAAAGAAGTCCTGGTCGCAAACAATCGAGCAAGACTTGAAAGCTCTAAATTTAAACGAAATGGATACAACTGATCGTCTAGTTTGGCTGGCGCAAACAAATTGATGGCAATGAAAACAACGTCCTACCTCGGAGAACTGGGTCTCTGGACACTAAACGAAGATTGATTGATATATGTAATTAAAAACAACTTTTTTTGAGAAAATTTTATTGATAGATTACACTTACATTACTAATTGCAAAGTCAATATGTTTTTTGGTTTTAAATAGCAACTAATACAATAAAAATTTTATATGTATATTATATATATTATATATATATATATATAATATATATATATAGCATCTCACAAGTATTAAAAACGTGAAAATCTCAATACATTAAATATATATATATATATATATATATATATATATATATATATATATATATATATCATATACAGTACGTAAGGCAAACAACATAAATTTTAATGAAAATTACATCAAAGTAGTTTTTTTTGCCAAAATCACACACACATATATATATATATATATTTCACACGAAAATATAATGTATTATAATTTTAGATTTAATTCATCGTAAATAAATAAACAACTGAAAAGTAGACAGAAGGTTTGATTGATTTATAGATAGATAGATAGATAGATAGATAGATAGATAGATAGATAGATAGATAGATAGATAGATAGATAGATAGATAGATAGATAGACAGACAGACAAACAGATAAATAGACAGACAGACAGACAGATAGATAAGCAGGTAGAAAAACGGATAGCTTGGTAGATAGTTGAAAGGATGATAACTTGAAATAAGGCACACACCAGGGTAGATTAGTACAAACAAAAGGATGAATGAATGAGCAAATGAATGAATGTATGTATGTATATATATATATATATATATTAAAGAATTTATATATATATATATATATATATATATATATACATATATTAAAGAATTTTTATCAACACAGACGATACATACATTTGCATATCAAGAAATGCAATTAAAAATGATCAACAAATATTTATATACTTTTATTATCGTTCTAACATAAATTCTGTGCGCGTGTATGTATGTATATGTATGTGTGTGTGTGTGTGTGTGTGTGTGTGTTTGTGTGTGTGTGTGTGTGCGGGTCTCTATATCAAGTTCAACGTATGCGTTTGTAATGGTATTCAAGGAAACGGTATATGTACGAGTGGATGGATGAATGAGG